TTAAAAAAACAAGCACATGCTTAATTTTATTATGAGATTACTCAAGAAAACTGGTATATTTCATGTTATAAATACTATTGTCCTAATACTTAACTTACGACTTGGTGTGAAGGCGTAAAAATTTAGTTGGTTAACCATGGTATCACTAAATACTAGATATATGTAAACAATAAACTTATATAACGAAGTATAGCAAAGCACAAAAATTTTTGTACTAGATTTTAATATCCAGATCCAATTACCATTTGACCAAGCAAATCGATTCGTTAGTATTACGTGTCATGTGACATCGAAAAATCCAAATAGCTAAAAAGAGCTTGTAGATCGCTAGAAATATAAAATAAATTCAAAATAAATCATAAATACCTAGAGATTTCGGTCCTGTAGTGAATATCCTGCGGCAGTGGCTAATATTCCATGATTTAAAAAATACGATTGGTTTATTTGAATTAACTATTCTGTGCAGTGTCACAAATAACCATCATTTGTTTGCACTATGTGTTCTTCATACTGGTATCCGGCATTTTCAATCAATTGCATCTATAATGCAAAATAAACAATAACCTCAATAATACACACATATATATGTATTAAATTAACTATAAAATATGAACACCTAGTACTCTTTTATGCACAATTTATTAAATATTTAAAAGTTTACAATCGTTTAGAGATTCGATTTGTTTCATCTTGAATGAAAGAAAAAAAAGGAATGAAGATAGAAGTTGAGTAGAATTAGAAATTTCATATGAAAAGGTAAGAATTGATGAAAATAAGAAGAAAAAAAATAAGATATCCTTAATATGGACATTTTCGAATTTCCTTGCTCCCAAGGGCGAAAATGGTTCCAAATTGATAAAAAACAATTCTCTTTTTTAAAGTTTTAGCTCTTAATATTGTCTTTTAGATAGTATATATATATATATATATATATATATATATTATATATATATATATATATATATATGATATAAAAATTAGTATAGAATGTAATTAAATAAAAATGTTGTAGGTGGTTAATGCTCAGAGTAAGCAAGGCAAAAAAAAATTGAAAAAAAAAACAGTATATAAATTTTTATAAGAAAATAGAAAGCAAGCATAAAATTCATATATTTATAAAATGGTATTATTTTTTTTAAAATTAATTATAAACAAAAACAATTATGAGTTATAATAAAACAGTCCTGAGTTCAATTTTAGTAAGTTTATATATGTGTCTCTCACCACGTATTGATTTTCGTTAGCCAATGCAAATACTTCAATTTTGCATATGATTACCAAGATAATTAAAAGTTTTATCACATTTATTTTATCACTGGTTAAATGATAGACAATATTCCCAACGCAATTGTTTACGTCTGGAATAGTCATGGTTATGTTAGTAGTAATATATTCACAACAACAACAATAGTAATGATTATATATTAACTCTATTTATCTTTAACTTTATGGCACCTTATATTAAAATATTTTAACTTTTAACTATATAATATTTATTTTTTTAACTTATTTACTAATCGACCGGCCTTGTTGTAAACTGTGTTCAAAATGATTTTTGATTCATATAATATTCGAAACAGGTTTGGAGAAAAGGTTGACCTCTGAATGAATGATGGAATTAATTTTGACCGCCAAAATTACTTTCATCAATTACTTATATTTTACGGCCAACTCACAATGAAATCTATGTTTCATATTTATATTTGTAAGTTTTGTAAAATATTATATTGCGTATATCAGGGTTTGTATAAAAACTGACATTTAAAAAAACTAGTGGTGTATGGAACTTCCCATACCGTAATGAAATGATCGAGGAATATTAAATGTTTACAAATAGATTTTATAAATATTGTAACATTGTCTAATATTTATAGGAATTATATAAACTGAATTGCAGAGTTGAAATTATTTGTTTAAAGTATATTAGAACAGAATTATAATTAATATCTGAATTATTTTCGATATACAAAAGAAAATTTTTTCTTGAAAAAAATTTTTTTTTTAAAAATTAGAAACAAAATAATTTCTTTCCAAAAGCAATTATTTTGTTGAAACAAGCAGAAAGTTCTTTGAATAATTCAAATCGGACGCCTAGTTCTCTCAAAACCTGCCAGTTTTTGCAAATTTAGCTCTGTATCTTTGAAATGGCTGGACCTGCCTTTTCTAAAAACTAATCACCTCTTCTCTCAATCATTACAAATTGAATGTTTTTTAGATCATTCAAATTGGATACTCTGTTCTCTCAAAAACTCGATTTGTATTTTCTGCACTCTTTTCAAATCGGTTTATCGTGCGCCCGAAAACGTGGACGAGAAAATGCGGATATACAAAACACACACACATCCATTTTTTCTTAGGTATGCCAAAATGTTCAGAAACCTCCAAAACGTCGAGAAATGCAAAAAAAATTATTTTAGATTTTTGGCTCATTACTATAACTAGATAACTACCCTACGAGAAGTTAAAAAAAACGGTTTCGAATACTATATTTCCAAATAAAAAAAGTATTTAATTGAATAATACGAACAAAAATTTTTAATAGATAATAATTGATAATAATTTTTTTACAAAAAAAATAATTAACTCTATTACGATTAAACTCGTGGTGCATGGCATGGTGCCATATGCCCTGGAACTTCCCGTATCGTAATAAAATATTCGAGAAATTTTAAATTATTTTAGCCTGAATTAAAATTGAAACTAGTGGGGTGGGTGGCATCGTGCCTTAAGGCAAATTGCTGGAACTTCCCGTACCGTAACGAGATGTTCGAGGAATATTGAATGTTTTCAAATAGATTATTATAAATATTGTAATATTGTCTAATATTTATAAGAATTATATAAACTCTATTGCAGAGTTGAAATTATTTGTTTAAAGTATATTAGAACTATAGTCAAAATTAAAAATAAAATCTGAATTATTTTCGATATACAAAAAATTAAAAAAAAAAAAAAAAAAAAAAATGGTACAAATGTTTTTTCCAAAATCAATTATTTTGTTAAGACAAGCAGAAAGTTCTTTGAATCAATTGAATCGGACGCTTAGTTCTCTCAAAAACTGCCATTTTTTGTACATTTAGCTCTGTATCTCCGAAATGGCTGGGCCTGCCTTTGCGAAAAACTAATAACCCCTTCTCCCAATCATTACTTATTGAATGGTTTTTAGATCATTCAAATCGGATGCTCCGCTCTCTCAAAAACTCGATTTCTATTTTCTGCACTCTTTGCTCCTTATCTCCGTAACTGCTGGACCTGCCTTTGCCAAAAACTAATCAGCTCTTCTCCTTATCAATAGGAATCGAATGTTTTTTGAACCATTTAAATCGGTTGATCCGTACGCCCGAAAACGTGGGCGAAAATTTGTATCCATACATACATACACACACACACACACATCCATTTTTTCTGAAGTATGCCAAAATGTTCAGAAACCTTCAAAACGTCGAGAAATGTAAAAATTTTCAATTCCGATTTTCGGCCCATTACAATAACTTACCCTACGGGAAGTTAATAATAATTAACTCTCTGATTAAATTAGTAGTGCAAGTTATGGAAAAATAAAGACGTTTTAAAATAAATCTTTACTTTATTACTTTATTTAGTTGATGTTACGTCCTCCAAGAAATTAATCATACATTTCAACATCATTACGAGTTCCTAAGAGCTTTCCCCAAAATTTATTTGCTAAACATCAATATTTAAAAGAATAGTGATGTGAAAGAAACCCTGTTTTTCAAGCATTTGCAAATTTAATATTATTTGATAAAGGATGTGCCGTATTCATTATTTACAAAATTAATGTATAATTTTTATACATACTGCTATGAAAGATTGAGCTTTAGAATGTTTTATTCTAATATTAATGAATACAGTAGAAACTCGATTAACCGGACTAACTGTTGTCGATGGGCATTCGGATAATCGAAAATCCGGATATTCAAATGTATGAAAAATAATGTTGCATTTCTTAAAAATAACAAATACTTACATAGATATCAACAAAAATCAATGTTTATAAAGAAATTAACACTTTCTTATGTATGAACATACGTATTTTCTTAGATTATATTACATGAATTATGAAGATTATATTACTAAACTGCAGCATTAATAATGCAAAAAATCGAATTGTAGGTATGTACAAATACATATTGGTACATATATATATACATATTGGTCTCGGTTAGTAGTCCGGATAATCGCGAATCCGTATAACTGGGGTTCGGATAAACGAGGTTCTACTGAATATCGTTTGCAAAACTATCTTAATTTTATTATTACCGTATGAAGGATTATTATAATTTTAATTGTTTTAAGACAAGCTTGATCAAAACACAAATCACGGAGTACTTCAAATATTTGCAAAAGCATTCAAGGGACAATTATATCGATCGACTTCTACACGCGCGTGACTTTGAATGCATTTCTCAGATTAGACGCATTTTCACATTTACACCGAATTTGTCCCCCACCCATTTTATCTCGAGAACGGAAAGAACAAAAAAATTTTAGATTGCACTAATCGACAGCAAAAAAATCGTAAAAAAATCAGGTCATATCAGTTTTGCCGATTTCCACCATCACAGTGCTAACTGTACACGCGTTTTTATGTGCATAAATCAAAATATTTTTTTTTTATTATACTTTTTTAACAGCAGAACCTTACGTCCTATGAGCTGTTGGGCTGAAACTTCTCCTTCCTTCGTATTTTTTAGATGGTAACCCAATGGTTAATCCATCCATATTTGATGATTTTTGTTATTAGAATTAATCTAATAGGGCTGACTTTTAATTGGTGCAGCAATGCCGGGCAAGGGCTATTTTCACTTGGAAACATATTGCTATCTATATTTCCAAGTAAAAATTGTTGTCACTGCTGCCTGACAACAGGTTGCTCGAAGTGGGTATCGAACCCGGGACCTCTGATTCAGGTCCCGTCGCTCTTAACCGCTTACCTACGGGCGAGCCCAAAATATAATTTAAAGTAACAAAACTGCATTCAGTGAAGGACCAAAAACATCTTATGTAAATGTTCAAAATAGTTATGTAATCAGTAAATGGTTTTTATTTGATTTTTTTTTAACTTCCCGTAGGGTAAGTTTTAGTAATAACAAAAAAATATAAAATGAAAATTTTTATGTATCTTTAGGAAAAATTGATATATGTGCGCGTGTGTGTGTATGTGCGGATACATATTCTCGTCGACGATTTCGAGGACACGGATTAACCGATTTAAGTAATTCAAAAAGCGTTCGATTTCTATTGATACGGAGACGTGCTGATAGTTTTGGCAAAGGCAGCTGTAACTGTTTCGAAGATACGGGGCAAAAAGTGCCAAAATTGGTATTTTCGTTTTTGAGAGAACGGAGCGTCCGATTTTAATAATTCAAAAAACATTTTACTTGTTTTGACAAGATGAAGAACTAGATGAAGTAAAAAAATGCCATTTTGAGGTCAAAAATGATCATCAGACATATGCACATCAAATTATCAGATATTTTATGGAATTTTAATGATGTGTATCGATTTTGTTTACATTTCTATGGGTTTCGTAACATCGTTACCGTCAAACGGCGACGCAGCGCTTACTCGCTTCGATATTGCGTCTCTAGGCAGCTAAAGCAGTGCGATTGCTTTGAAAAAAAGTTCAAAATTTCCAAAATATTTCAATATAAATAAAAAACATTTTTTTCCAAAAGCTTTTGTTTCAAAAAGTCTTTTTTTTAAATTTAAGATTTCTCAAAAATCTAATTTTGTCAAAGTTTAAAACAAATTTAATCTTTTTTAAAAAAAATATTTTTTGGCGCGGGAAGTTCCAGCAATTTGCTTTAAGGCACGATGCCATATTTCACTAGTAATTACTTAAATTAAAAATTTATCAAAACATGCAGACAGTTTTTACCGTGAAGAGTAAATGTCAAAAAAAAATGAGATATATGTTTTTGGAAAAAAATATAGCCGTAGTTGAAAACTTAATTGTATTCATATGAAAAATGAATTCATTCAATCTTAATATCCGATGCATGCGGATGTCCCTTTACAACATGAGCATCAAAACACGCATTTGCGCGCGCGTTGTGTATCTACGCCATAATGTTTTCAGAAAGCTCAGTCGCGTAGCATCGTTCACGCGTAGACATCATTCAGCGTGCTTTATTCAATATCGTGCTATTGTATGTGATTTTATTCTAAAAGTTGGACGGAATTATTTATGTTTTAATTCAATGATAAATTGGTGATAAAAGTAAACATTAAATATTCATTAAAACTAGTGATGCATGGCATTGTGCCTTAAGGAAAATTGCTAGAACTTCCTGTGCCATAAAATATTCGTGAAATATTACATGTTTTCTAATAGATTATTATAAATA